AAGTTCCAAGGAATCACAAGTTAGTCGCATGTACAATAAGCAGCAGTACTGTCACTCCTTTGTCGCATGCCGGGGTGGAGGCAGTACGTGAAATCATGATCGGCCGGTCATAAAAATCAACAGTCTTTGATGAGTTACAGGTCGTAGGTTGATCAGGAAAGGATCTATTCTTCGATTCTGCAGGGTTCAGATTCAACTGTCAGTCAAGTATTGATTTGTACGGGATCCTGTAATAGTTAAAATACTGGTTTACTTAGATCTGGTTAATTCACTAATTTGAAAGTATAATAATGTAACCACCTGCAAGGAACCTTGAAACTGTGAAATTTTCGTTACTTAAATCTAGTAATTTAATGATTTAATCAAATAATTTGCCATGCCATGTTTTCTAATGACAAATCCAATCTTGTCACGAGTATTGGAATTGATAATTGCTATACTCACATTGAAATGTCTGTACTGGTTGTCGCATCCTGTACTCAAGTCTCCTCTCGCTATTGTGATAACATGTGACAGTGTTTCCGTCACTTTTAATGCTGATGGACATGCATCTCCCATCCCTTGCGCACATGATTCCACACAGCGGAACGCTGATACCAGTAGTAATGGTTTGATATGTTTCGGGTGTTTGTGTCAACATGTGTGAACAACAGTGCGGCACAATTCCAAATAACAGAACAATCCAAATGTATAGTATTCCAGTCATGTTGAATGTATCTTGATAGACGGCACAATGGTTATTGTACTTTGTGCAGCACGCTCTCAGATGGTAATCCAAAATACTTATTGGACACTAGCAACTCTCTGATCATCAAAGATGACTGTATGATTCCGACTGTATCATCAGCATGATGAAAGAGTTTTTCTCGAATACTTACACATATATCCCGCCTCGTTGCCTGAATATTGCCATTGCCGGATTCTTTTGACGGTATGCGTTGATATGTAGGTTTCAGTACATTACTTATCATTTCCCTGAGTGTATAGTCATTGATTGTCAAAGTAAGTGCATATAAAACAATATGAGCAAAGTAGAAGCAACAATCAGTGCAGTAACCCAATACAAACGTGAGGGAGTATTAGGGCGAGTTGGTTCAGTAACCCATGCTTGTAAGAGGTAACTAATGGGATCGGCTGGACAGCTCGCTGACTCACATGTCATCGTATCCTAATTGCATAGATCGATGCTCATGCGATTATTTACAAACCACCGCCATATAGCTTGAATATTGCTGAGTGTGGTGTTAAACAACAAACAACATAAACACTCGTCTCAACACGACTCTTTCCTCAAATAAAAGTTAAATCATATTGCACTGTTGATGGCTATGGTAATAGTAGTACTTGCCCTGCCATGTTGCCAACCTTCTCAACCACTAACATACGGACTTCGTGTAGCGTAAGGACACTACTTTCCTGCCTTTCCATTTTGTCAAGATGAAAACCAATGTGGTCTCTGAAATTTGGAATATTGTGGGACCTTTGGGGTCAGATCAGTATCAAGAACTATACTCTTTATTTGATACCGCAGGCTAATACTGTTTGGGTCCTTTTGTTTCTTTCAACGACTTAAAGTATAATCTTGTTGTTACTGTGTGTTGTTACTGTTGTTACTGTGTGCAATCACAGAAGAAACAGCATATCATCCAAAAGAAGGGTATCATGTTGCCTTCACAGCTCCTTATAACCAGGACTGCTTTGACGTCTCTGGTAAACAGACTCAATGCATGGACGTGTGCGGTTCGCTGGTTAGAGAGACTACCTTCGTTGAATTTTTAGTTCCATTTTTTAATCATTCAAATAGGATTTTCGCTCTCTGTGCCTGTGAGAAGCTATGTTGGACAGCAAACAATGTTTAATTACATTTGTTTAATTCCCCCCAATACTTATTATTATTGCCTTGAATGTTTTCAGCCCCAATCAAATCAATAACAGCTACAACAACACCTGTTAATTAATCAGTTGAATTAATTACTCAATCAATATTCATTAATGCGTGTTGGAGAATATTGCTTGCAAAGACGAGGTATTGCTTCGTCAAAGACGAGGTGTTTGACGCCGCTTTTAGCAATATTCGTCAACACCAGAATCAAAGGTTTTGAAGGGTATGCTGATGCATAATAGATATTCAATAACATATGATGAAAGAGTGTTCCAGGAGCTAACGGATACAATAATAACACTCACAAAGACAGACAGAGATCTTCAATATTTAGAGTTCGTTCGTTTGTTTGTTTGTTGATTATAGCCTATTAACGCTCAGCTATGTTCCAGCTATATTTTGGCATAATGGTAATAGTCTGGACAAGGCATCCCAGTAACTGGTATCCTGAGCATTGGTCTACGCAAATGGGACTGACAGTATTTTACGGTAATGAAGGTAATACAATAGCTATTAGCATAGCCTGAGAACCCTTTCCATTATCACATTATGTCAATCATATTATATTGACCATATCGTAAGCATGACTTCACAGTCACTTATTATGACTACAATGCCAAATTAACATGATACCAGGTGTTCGCTAAAATGTGAACTTGTTTTGCCCAAACAGTACCACTGGTCATAAACACATGCAAAGGTCAGTCAATTGTTCACTCCATTACACACGGGAACATGTTACGGCAAAAATGAAATCATTGGACATCGGTTTGACTAATTGCCCGTGAGGTACCACAGAGTACTAAATCAATTTCGGCTATTCTGACCCATGGAGTTGGAGAATCTTTTGCAATCTTTTTTTCGATATCTAAGTGACACTAACTACTGCCTCGAATATCACATAACACGCCAAGACCAGCAATTGTGTGGGGATCATTCTTACCAAGAATATTGTCTGCCTATTTTGTACTAACTGCGTCCGTAATACCTTTGTAGTGATACGTATTAATGTGTCACCTTAGTTAATTTCAGAATACAATTGTAAATTATATATTGCTTTCTTGTTGGTTAATTTTTACCAGGTTCTTTTCTGGACCGATGCGTGGTTTACTTTCAGTCTCAACTTGGGAATCAACAGGTAACAATGCACGGACGATAAACATAAGAAACTACCAATACGTGATTGGTGTCGATAATTGAGTACGACTACACAAATGGTCAAATTGAAGGTGATGTGTAAACAAACCACACAAGAGTTACAACACAAGACCTGTACACACAGCTGCAGGTATCTTACACGATCTATGTAGAAACAACTGCATTAAATGATAACGGATTTTTCAGCACAATGACAATACCACAATACTATGATCATGAGTACTTCTTATCATTCATTCTACCATGGCTACGTGAAATGCTCGAATTTGATTGGTCAATCAATAAAATCAGACGATATCAATTTGGATTGAAAATGCGTCTGCTTTCACGGCGCTTCACTGCGCACGTATACAACACTGTCGCACTACTTCAGCTTGGCCACCAACATGACTAATATCAACACAACAGACGTGATGGAAATGCTGATGAAACATTTATTAAAACTCGAAAAATACAATTATACGATTTCTCCTCCACAATTATTAGGGAACCTCACTATCATAATTATTACCTTCTATTATAAAAATATTCAAACTCAATTACAATACACAGCCCCAAACATAAACAAAAAAATCTAACATATATAAATCAGAAAACCTTGTAAAAATACATCCCTATCTATCCCTATTCGTGCGGCAAAACGTTCGTTAACATTTAACTACCTGTTTATTGGTATATTTGTTTCCGTTTAGAATGAGAAATTCGCACGATAACGGTCAGGCGAAACACAAAATATTGGCCACTCATACTCCATCATGTCCCGTTGCATCGTTCAAAATGTCAAAAATTGAACCACGAGAATTCCGCTCTCTGCCACCTTCCCCGCAAGGCTGTCACTGCTATATTCGTACACTTTGAAAAGCTTGGCCACAATCCAGTCCCAAATGATGAGAACAATGTTCCAAGGAATCCCAAGTTAGTCGCATGTACACAAAGCAGCACTGTCTGTCACTCTTTCGTCGCATGCCGGGGTGGAGGCACGTACGTGAAATCATGATCGACACTCGCCAGTCATAAAAATTAACAGTCTTTGATGAGTTACAGGTCATAGGTCGATCAGAAAAAGATGTATTCTTCGATTCTGCAGGGTTCAGGTTCGACAGTCAGTCAAATATTTTCCACTGTCACTTCGAATTTCAACCTGTCGCAAAATGTAAACACTGGCTCGTCCGCCATTTCAAACTGTTGCGTAACTGTCTACTTCCAAGAAAATATGTAGGTCAGACGATTCCATTATAGTGTGGCCAGGGGGGTACTGTAACACGGGACACAAAACAATAGGCTGGTTTCGGTCGTGTGGAGTTATGATTATAAAACCCAAGCTCTTAGGTGTTACATTATTGCATTGAATAAACAGTAGTTTGTTCTCTTTGGATAGAATATTTTTTATGTTGCAATGTTAAAAAATATACGAACGGCACCTATCACTCCCTTCACAGACGAGTTCAATTCGCCTCTCGTCCCATGCCGGATTACGCAGTGTCTTTCGCAGGACGAGGAAGTTCGATGTTAAATCGGTTATGGTAGAATGGAGATAAACATACTGTGTTTGGAAATTAGATGAATGTTAGACCGAATTGATAGTCTCTAAATTTCATTTGAAGCCGAACCCAGATAGCATTCAGACGTTGGCCCAACGTTGGCAATGGTTTTGCCAACATTGCCAACGTTGGGCCAACGTCCGAATGCTATCTGGGTAAGTCTTCATCTTTGACAATACCAGTGAAGGTCCGGGTTAGAATATTGATCTTCAGTAACCCATGCTTGTCGTAAGAGGCGACTAACGGGATCGGGTGGTCAGGCTCGCTGACTTGGTTGACACATGTCATCGGTTCCCAGTTGCGCAGATCGCTGCTCATACTGTTGATCACTGGATTGTCTGGTCCAGACTCGATTATTTACAGACCGCCGCCATATAGCTGTAATATTGCTGAGTGTGGCGTAAAACTCACTTCACTCACTCACTCATCTTTGACACTGTTAAAATTGACTGTGTGAACAGCGTGTTGACTCTGGCTGCTGGTTATTATAATAATGATAAACTTCAGTTTCCACAGATGTGTGCCTTGTGCAGAATGTCACAACCGTAAGAAGACTTAGTTACATCTTGTACAACTTGATTTTTGACCAAAGGATGCCTGTTCAAAGTAGAAGATTGTGTTGTGCGTGCTGTGATGATGTGAAGAACATCAACACCACTCTCTGGCAAAAACGCTTATTGATGTGTTAGTGAGTTATGCAAGACACCGCATTTAACAATATCCAGTTGCATATGACTCGAATCTGACTTTTTGTTGGTTGTGGCATGCTGCAGAGAACATTCCAGATCTGCCCCTGAACCATGACAAACTATTGGCCAATCTGTCCTAACGTGTCACACTGGGAATTATTCTGATCCTGAACACTCCCATGACCGAACAGCTACCCGATAGTTAGGCGATGTGAAAGCCACCCTCGTCATGTGTATTCCATCAGTCTTCAGTTCTATTCGGCCGTCATAAACATATTGATTTCGGAAACGCTGTAGTTCAGTGTGTGAGGCCAGGACAGTTGAGTGGGGTCCGATGTCTTGTACTGAACTGATGGAGGTTGTGGCTGCCCTGTGGGATTGTAGCCGTCACATGTGTTGAACCACCACCCAGACTGGTGGATACTTGCACAGTTGTCGCCGCTGTCGTTGTCGTTGTCGACATCGTAAGTCGAAAATCGAACTCCCAGAAGAGGTGAGAGGCCATCAATAGCTGGACTATGGTTGACACCGGGGGATGCAGCAGACGAAAACGTGAAGTTATAACCGTATGTTTCACTGCTCACCTGAAAGTAAACATTCTTCCTATACATACAAAGGAGAACTCATTTTTGGGAAATCTGTAATACACATTTAGCAAACTATCAGCAACAATCGATGCGGTGACTACAATAACTGAGTGAGGGCGGCTCTTTGGTTTTACAACCCATGCTTGTCCTTTGGCGTTAAGCAACAAACGAACAAATTGAACTACGCCTTGGACAATTTGTCAGTGCCATAACCATCATATGAGTGAAGGAAAAATATGATGTTGAATTTGCAATGTTTTCGTTACATAATGAAACAGTTTTCTGCATTTACGCAACAAGGCGCCACCCACACGATTGCGGCCTGACATTAATGAAATGATGGACCGAAAACTCATAGCAGTATATATGATTACAATGTTACGCAAATAAACAAACTTACCGCATTTGACCACCTCGAATTGCAACTGAATATAGTTTGTCCTTCAACTGAACTACGATGGATCTAGTTTGGGTTGACTAGGAGTTTACATGTAAAGGTTGCGATATTCGTAGTTCACAAAATTGAATCACATATTCACAATTGATTAGACCCTTGTTTTACATCATACCCGTGCTCCTTTTACTGCAGTGGCTAATGCCTAAGCTGCCACAAAACTGTCATAATGTTCAAAACGGTCTCAGTCCCAGTACACATACTCATTTTACTGTGTAACAAATCAGCCGGTCACTTAATTCACACACACACACACACACACGTACGCACGCGAGCACACACACATATATATGTATATTTGGGGTCTTAATGTTTAGTCTAACTTACATTTCACAAGCTTTTAAGTAACATGGGGCATGCTCTACTTACCTAACTTTCAAGCACTGTCATACCACATAAGATGTTTGATCAAGATTACAGCATTCAAAGCCGGACACTTCATGAAGTGTGTAACACTTAAATAAAATATTTCTTCTTTTTCCTTTTTTTCTTCACTAAAGCTTTCGAAAGGTTCTATGGGAGACATGTGGAAAACTTGTTCAAACCTCAGGCGACTTAGATAAGAATTCTTTGTGATCCATGATCTCATTGTCTTATTTAGGCTTATATTGCATGTTTCGCATTGTTCAAAGTGTTTACAGTTGAGATAAACTCGTTTTGTCATTAACCTCACTAAGCTGCACCAGCTGCTCACAAAGGAGAGATTAGGAACCGTGCATAAATTATGGCGGGGGTGGGGGTGGGAGTGATGACGATTTTACGAGGGAGTCACCCATTTTGTTCTGAGGAGGATTGGGGTCATCAGTTTTGTACACATGTACCAAATGGGTCGGTCAGCAATTTTGTACATAGGTATATCTAAAACTTATGGAAGGGGCGGGGCCGGGGGAGGTGGTCGTCATTGATTTTGTACACTTACTTTGCACATAATTTTAGGGGAGGAGGTCATTCACATTGAAATACTTCTTCATAAAAATCATCATCACCCCTCTTGCCATAAATTATTAACGATCCACTATGTAAGATACAATGCATAACGCTTTTGAACTTCGACTGACATTACGAAGAAAATAACACAAACTGTTGTACTGGATAATACCAACATATCCCTAACTTGCACATCAGAGGTAATATTTCACGTGAGTAGAAATTCAGATGAACCTTTTAGGTTTTAGTATTGTTTATTTGGTCATACGAATTACATTCTCAAACGTTGTTTTGCTGCAACTGGTTAGGTGGTATTGGGTGGACAATGCATACACAGATGAAATAAAATTGGGGTAAGCATTTTAATCAAATATAATGTTTAGATATTGATTGTTTTGTATCAAGATTGACAATAGAATAATACAAAATATTTATTAAACAATGAATGATTGAACAAAGTGTCTTCATCTGCAAAAATGAATGCAAAAGTATTGTCCAACATTGGAGGAGGGATTTACCATCATGCAAATTGTGAAATCTTCCGTTTAACTACTATTCTGCCATAATATTATCATATTTATTGTCATTCGTACCTCATATGCCGATGATATCGGTCTGAGTGTAATAAAGTTCTGTTCTGTTCTGTTGTATATTTATTTTATGGGTGATTCCTATTTCATTAAGAGGTACATGTAACAGGCAGGGGATTAACTGTACATTCAACCAGATGGTTTGTTGTTTTAACCTGTCTGCCTATTGGGACGTCTGACAAATGGGAGGATACAACCATATTAGAGTTACATTTTATGTAACTGTTATATATTTTTCGGCCGTCAGATTGTACATTGCGAGTCCAGCTTCTTTGGTTGAGTGATGTTTTTCGGTGAGTTTATGTACATGCTCATCTGACGACAACAAGCAGTTACACGTTTATGTAAAAACATATTTTAAACGGAAGTTATTTCTCGTTGTAGTTAACACCCCCTAATTCATTGAGTTACATGTTTGTCAGTTTCATGGCTTAAGTTGGGCACGGAACATGAAAGTTGTCCACTGACATGTGCGTATATGCCCGTTTAAGTGTCCTTAAAGGGGATGATAATCACCCAGAGATACGAACAGTCAAGGAAGTGCTCAAGAGGTGTGTCGTCAGGCATCACTGCATGCTTTCTCAGTACAAGTACATTCCCTTGTTATTAGGGGTACACCGATAAGGTACATGTAGGACTAATTGCGTGAAAGTAATTGGTGACTGGCTTTTTCAACATATATATCATGTTATGAGAAGGAAATTCAGAACTCAGAAATAAAGCTTTTTGGGCCAAAAGTTGTAAAGAACATTCAGATCAAGGACACCACTTTGCCGTAAGAGTGACATAAAACAAAACAATGTCTTTATATAATTCCAGTTGTACCCGGAATAAAAGTGAGGTATATTCAAATGTTATTATTGAAAATAACAAACTCCACACATCTCCAAATTCAGAGTTCAGAGCCTTCATTTTGAGTACCTGGAAATCCTTATAGAAATACTTTCTCCATATCAGTTTCCCATCTTCTTTAAAGCGAAAAAATGCCCTCAATCTGTGTGGGCGATTGTTTGTCACATGATGCACCATATCCAATCCTGCCCAAAAGTTGCCTGAAACATTAACAATGAAAGTATAACTTGATACACAGTGAATATCACCGGAATGTCAACTGATCACAACCATACCAGTACGTGTCAGTTCAAATACACTTGACGAGTATATTGCTTATAATGACGCATGGTACTTTATGGATGACAACTGCCTGTTACTGCATAGAGTGATGTTTCCGTGTTGATTGAAGCTAAAAGCGATAACGGTGCAGGACATGACGGTTGAAAGAAAACTTGACGAGTATATTGCTAATTGTGACAAATCTACGACGTAAAGTCGCTCTGGGCAATCAACAAGAATGCTGATCAAACAATGAATATATTGCTACTGTAGTCATTATAGTAGGAAGTATTTCCACTTATAAATGGACACGAGTGTAAGATTTCTTTTAGTATCCAATATCATTCTAAATAAATCACATGATGATGTCTCCGGGGAAAAAAAGTATTTGAATGCTTGAATTTTTGAATGCTCCAACGTATTGGAAAGTTTAAAACAGATTCATAAAAGTATAAACCCTTCAGTGATAAGACAACATATCTCCTCCGAAGTTATACCCCGCTTGAACTCATTCTAGGGATATCCCATGTGACAGCTAGTTTTATGGACATTACAGAATAGCTTGTAATACTATATTTACCATTGACTCCGATTCCGTGTTTGTAGTCTTCCCATGGGCGTGAAAAGTTCACGTAAGGACTGTTAAAACGTCGGGAAAAGACATATGTCCATCCAGGAGGCCATTTATGCATCGTACAAATAACCTCAAAGGCCCGAGGAGAGTTGCTGGGATGGATGTGAAACACAGCAGACTTTGTTTCGTATCTGTAATGATCCGTGAAGGCACCCTCAGTGCAATCTGTATTGAAACGAAAGAAAGGTTAGCTATAACATAAGAATAATCCCTAATATACAATACACATTCATCCGCGTTAAACCTATCAAAATATCAACAGAGTTGTTGCCATAACGATGGACCATAGTCATAAAACATCATATAATCCAGGGCCAGTAGGGGTTTTTCCACTTAAACTTGCGTCACTTTTTCACAGGCACCATCCCGTTGTATGTATAGAAAAGAAAAACTTTTATGAGAAATATTTTCTGCAAAAAGAGACACTTGTGATATAGCAACTATGTTGAGAATATAGAAAAGAGGGTTTCACTTTGAGCAGAGAGTTTACTTCAAATAACATGCTTTGTGACTCTATAAAGTGGTGTTTGGCTAGATATAACTCTATAGATACAAACACAATTCAGGGTACATCTGGGGCCAGTTATCTTTACATGTGATGTATCGTAGCATTACAAAACCGTATTTAGGTAGATGTATTACCATTCTATACATCTGCGAGGTTTGGGTTGTTTTTGAGAGCCCAGGACAAGCCAGAGCGAACACTTGTGACGGAGATAAAGTTGAGAGTGTGGGGAAAATATCGTATCTTTTACCAGTGGGCATGCTTTAAATGCAACGAAATCGTAGAATACGTGTCTTTTTAATGTATGGCTAGATTTCCTAAATTGCTAACGGCTGAAGGGATGGTGTAAATCCAGCTAGGGTCCATGCAGGAAGCAAATGTACTGTAAGTCCCCATGGTCCCTAGTATGGTGATCTGTCTTCAGGCTATAAAAAATCTTTTTATTTGTAAACATCCACTTTTATTAGAAATTATTGAATTGTATAATGAGCTTGCTACTGGCCAATGCGACATCGTCTTTTGTTGGTTACCCAGCCACGTTGGCATTTCTGGGAACACAATGGCCGATCTTGCTGCTAAGGCAGCACTCAACAAATCTGTGACACCACTTCTTATCCCATACTCTGATTACAAAGCTGCTATTAGATCTTATATCCGTGATCTGATGCAACAGAAGTGGGACAGCCAAGTAGGTATCAATAAATTACATGCAATAAAACCCTATATCGGTTACACCTACTTGGGTTGTCAGTCCAGATTTGAAGAGGTCATCATAAGACGATGTCGTATTGGCCACACAAGATATACTCATGCATACCTATTGAAAGCTGAGGATCCTCCGTTTTGTATCCCTTGTGATGAGAGAACCACGGTCAAGCATGTCCTGCTTGACTGTGTTGAATTTTCCATCATAAGGGATAGATATTTTAATGTCAAAACAGTAAAGGACCTTTTTAGTAATGTTAATTATCATTTAATCATTGATTTTTTAAAGGAGATAGATCTGTTAAATGAACTTTGATATATGTTTTGTAAATAGATAAGGTTTTATAATTGGTAGTTTAGATTATCAACTTCGATTGTTAGTGGCTGTACCCTCAAAGGGGGTTGAAGTATTGTAAAATTATTGTCCTCCTGAGAGAGTAAGTAAGTCCCAACACATTTAGAGTAAATTTAGACTTACCACGTTTTTTAATCGTAGAATATGTATGCTTTTAATTTATTGCTAGATTTCTCTTCTGTCGCCAATGGCTGAAGGGATGGTGTAAATCCAACTAGGGTCTATGCAGGTAGCAAAAGTAATGTAAGTCCCCATGGTCCCTGGTATGGTGATCTGCCTTCAGTTATTGGCGATTTATAGCCCATTTTTATACTGTATTGATTTTCCCCTATAGTTAAAACGTTTTAGATTTAATTACTAGTTTTACATACATATCTGTGATATTCTAGTTGTTTTACTGTCCTTCGTCGGCAGGTTTTTTATAATATACATATGTTTCATTTCAATATCAAATGTTCTCGTCACGATATGGCTGAAATATTGCCGATGTGACGTTAAATATTAACTCACTCACTCAGTAGTCTGGTGATCTACCTTTAGTTGTTGGCAATATATAGCCTGTTTTTTTATATTGTATTATCATCTATAGTTAAACTGTTTTAGATCTAATTACTAGTTTTAAATTCGAATCTGTGATAATCTAGTTATTTTACTGTCCTTCGTTGACAGTTTTTCAATTTACCATTAATTACTATGTATAAAATTAATTCTTCTCGTCACGATATGGCTGAAATATTGCCGATGTGACGATACATTTTAACTCACTCACTCACTCACTTAAATGCTACGAACAGTGATCTTTTGAGGTGGTATTTGCTTGGATATAGACGTAAAAGCTTCTCCGTACCGACAGAAATGTGTTTCAGGATAGACTGGAGTATGTATACGTTTTAAATCATGTTTCGTATAACGGTTCCTCTTTTAGACGTAACTTTGCTCAGCGACGTGACGTTCACAGGCCGATTTACTCGCAATACGGTTATTATGGTACACGTTTGTGGCTTCTGATTGTTCATTATTGTCGTAGGTGTATGTTGCATTAATTGTAGGCATGGTTTTCGACAATGGATTTATCAGCCAATAGTATCGTTGGCCCGCCTTGGCCCGGCCTGAATTTCAGGCAATTCCCTTCGTGCGACATATATCTTCCACCTTTTTCAATGTTCCCTCCCCGGTCCCTATAAAGATGGATAGTTGGCAAAGAGACGCTCATATTTAAGTTCAAGCTGAAACCATCGTCAACGAGAACCCTCAATTACCCATAAATGTATAGGAATAAGAAATAGTTTTCCTGTGAACTATTAGCAATACGGAGGTATCACAAACACTCCATACTTTAAACTTTTGCGTATTTAAAATATTTTCAAAACCAATATTAAATTGTTATCCATAAGATTTGTCTTGTATTACTACACCAACTTCTAAATGCCTTTATAATGTACTGAGCAAGCAAAACTGAAAATTTGACACTCAGAATTTTTTGGACTAAGTTTTTAATATTAGGTTTAAGACAATACTTTTAGTTGCAGGCTGTGCACAAAACATCTTGATATCAAAAGAAAACAAATCGAATCTCGCTTCGGGCGGTCGGCAACAGTTCCGGTTTGACGCACTCTCATCCTAAGAATATAACTTTAACAATTAATGGCTCAACAACAACCACAGACTGACAAGCATTAAGCATCCCCATTGCACGTTGATGTTCTTGATTTGAAAGGTCTGGCATTTCCAACCAAAGATTGAAATAAACAGTTTGATTTGTTTTTCCAGCTCACATTCAATGTGCTTGCTCAGTTGAAGCAAACATGCACCGAATGACCTCATGAATTTGCTTTTCACACGTAGTTTTAATCTTTATAGGCTACAAAGTCAAGGTTTGCTCGTGAACTCACACAGTTAAAGCCTCCACACTGTTTACGACTGTTTAGTATACTTGTAAATGTATGTGATTAAATAGAAAAAGAAAAATGTCGAAATTTATCAGTGTTCAGTTTTCAATTTTGCTGAGTGAACAATACCTTCCATTAGTCGTTCACACCAAGCCCCAATATAGCCACCGTAGCATCTGCAGCCATAGGTGTCATTCAGAAGGAACCCGTGGTAATGACACCTTGAGTGGTACCCCTGGTGGTGTAAAAGATGTCTTTTAATAACAAGAAACTGTATTAAAGTTGTAAACATAAAATACTGGTTACGTAGATCTGGTTAATTCACTAATTTGAAAGTAAAATAATGTAACCACCTGCAAGGAACCTTGAAACTGTGAAATTTCCGTTACTAAAATCTAGTTATTCAATTATTTAATCAAAAAATTTGCTATGCCATGTTTTCTAATGACAAATCCAATCTTGTCACGAGTATTGGAATTGATAATTGCTGTACTCACATTGAAATGTCTGTACTGGTTGTCGCATCCTGTACTCAACAGTCTCCTTCCACTATTGTGATAACATGTGACAGTGTTCCCGTCACGTTTGATGCTGATGGACATGCATCCCTCATCCTTTGCGCACATGATTCCACATAGCGGAACGCTGATACCAGTGATGGTTTGGTATGTTTCGGGTGTTTGTGTCGGGTCATAACAAGATTCAATACTGGTGAATTTCATGTATGAAAAGCAGTGCGGCACAATTCCAAATAACAGAACAATCCAAATGTATAGTATTCCAGTCATGTTGAATGTATCTTGATAGATGGCACAATGGGTGTTGTACTTTGTGCAGCACGCTCTCAGATGAGAATCCAAAATACTTATTGGACACTAGCAACTCTCTGATCATCAAAGATGACTGTATGATTCCGACTGTATCATCAACATGATGAAAGAGTTTTTTCTCGAATACTTACACATATGTCCCGCCTCGTTGCCTGAATATTGCCATTGCCCGATTCTTTTGACGGTATGCGTTGATATGTAGGTTTCAGTACATTACTTATCATTTCCCTGAGTGTATAGTTATTGATTGTCAAAGTAAGAGAAAAACGTTGAGTCTAGTATCCATATTACCTTAAAACAAACTAAAATATCTCCTTTTCACTTTCAAACTGTTACAATTAAACATTCAATAACTGTCGTAGTATTTATTAAACAAAATCGCACGGTACATCTCAACAAACCTTTTAAAGAGTGTTCAGTACTAGCCTTAATGGAAATGTTTCAAATCTATGAATCCTTAAACACTCCACCCGTGAAGATCAATTTTAAGCAATCGCTGAAAGTGCATATAAAATACTAATAGCAAACTAATAGCAACAATCGATGTAGTAAGCGAAAACAAAAGTGAGAAAGCATTACGAAGACTTGCCAACCCAAACTCGATTATTTACAAACCCCTGTCATATGCTTAAATATTGCTGAGTGCGGCGTAAAACAAGAAACAAACAGCATAAACACTCCTCTCAACGCGACACTATGCTTCACATGGAAGTTAATGAATCTATTTACACTGTTCGTGTGTGTGGTAACGATAGTACTTGCCCCACCGTGTTGCCAATCTCCTCAACTATTAACATACGGACTCCGTGTAGCCTAGGGGCATTACTTTCCTGCTTTTTCATTGTGTCAAGATGAAAACCAATGGTGGTTTCTGAAATTTGGAATATGGTGGGACATTTGGGGAAACGACTGTTTGTTTGAGAATGTTACTTCCATTGTCTTTCACTGCTCTGTGTTTCCGCTCTATTCAGATCAGTATCAAGAACTATACTCTCTATTTGATACCGTAAGCTGATACTTTTTGAGTCCAGTGGGTTTTTTTTCAACTATAATCTTGTTACTTTGTGCAGGCACAATAATTGCTGAAGAAGAGGCAACATGTCGTCCAAAAGAAGTGTATCATGTTGACTTCATAGATCCTTGTAACCCGGACTTCTTCGACGTTTCCGGTAAACAGACTCAATGCTGTTTGCTGTTTTTTAATCATTCAAGTTGGTCTCCGCTCTCTGTGCCCATGAGAGGCTATGTCTGACAGCAAATAATGTATATATATTTATTTAATATTAATATTAATATTATTTATATATATTTTACTTAAATTCTCCCCAATACTTGTAACTATAGCCTTGAATGTTTTCAGCCGCATTCAAATCAATAACAGCTCCAACAACAACAACAACCGTTACTTAATATTTTAATTACTCAATCAATATTCATTAATGCGCGTTGGAGAATATTGTTTGCAAAGAAGAGGAGTAATAAATATTCAATAATATGATGAAAAAGTTTTCTGGGAACTAACAGCTACAATAAGAAGGCTTACAAAAACAGACAAAGGTCTTCAATATTTAGACATAAGACAAGTATATGGATGGCAACTTCTTATTCATTGTATAACACAACGTTTCTGGTCCACTTCTTGGCCCTTCTTCAGGTGATCGTGTTTTACAATAAATATTCTGAAATTACCATCCATATACTTGTCTTATATATTCACCAACTTCTAAATACCTCTCAGGAATTTAATATTTAGAGTTTGTTCGTTTGTTTCTTGCATAACGCTCAGCAATAATCCAGCTATATTTCGGAATATTGAAAATAATCCTGACAAGGCATCCCAGCAATTGGCATGCTGAGCATTGGTCTAGGCAATTGGGACTTACAGTATATTACAATAGTTGTAAATGTAGCCTCAGAACCCTTTCCATGATCATAATATATTGACAATATCGTAAGCAGGAATTCGGAATCACTATATTGTGACTACAATGTCAAATTATGATGAAATCAGGTGTTAGCGAAAAGGTGCGCTTGTTTAGCCCAAACAGTACCACTCGTCATAAACAGATGCAAAGGCCATTCAATTGTTTACTTCATTACACACGGGAACATGATTCGGGAAAAGTGAAATCATGGGGCACCAGGGTGCCGTTGTACAAAGCAACCTTAGCGCTGAGGCTACCTTAAGTCTATGTTAAGGTATGGGAGTTACGGTCACCTTAGCGCTAAGATCGCTTTGTACAACGGCACCCTGTGTGGCTAATTGGCAAATCACAAATTTGCAAATAACATGCCCGTAAGGTACTACAGAGTACTAAAACCATTTCGGCTATTTTGACCCAGGGAGATGGAGAATCTTCTGGAATCTTTTTCTTCGGTAACTACTCCCTCGAATCTCCCATTACACGCCAATATGCTAGAAGACCAGCAATTGTGTGGAGATTATTCTTACCCTGAAAACTCAGCCTATTTTGGTAACTTGACCACTGTTGCAGTGATTTTAATATTACTATAATTGTCTTTATTGCTATAGCCACTGCCTTTGCATTATACCGCTTGTCCAATTTGTACCGCTTCTGCAATAACCTTGTAGTGATAGGTAATAATATGTGGCCTTAGTTAATTCCAGAATACGATTGTAAATTATATCATATTGCTTTGTTGTTTGTCAGCTTAATGGATCGATTCCTGGTTTACTTTTAGTTTCAATTTGGGAAAACTTTATCGATATTTCATATATCTTTTTCTGTTATAACCCCACAAAACTTCAAATACATCATATAAATTGCCTTTCATGTCACATGTAATTTATTTATGAAATGAAACAGAATTGAAAATACCCCAAAACCTTGAGTATCAGCAGGTAATACAGGACACAAACAACACACATGTGAACAAGTAATACGTGATTGCTGTTGGGAATTGAATGCGACTACAGAGATGATCCCACTGCAACTGCAGGTGATGTGTAAACAAACCACACAAGAGTTCTCACACAGCTGTTTGTATCAACACAATATATGTGGAAAAAGCTGATCTCAAATGAAAGCGGACTTTTCAACACAATGCATATACTACAATGCTATGAGTACTTCTTAAGATTCAGTTGCAATCTTTGACATTGAAAAAATACTGAATGTGTGAACAGCTGAGTAAAAAGTTAATTATAACTCTATGCTGGTTATTAAGATAATGGTAAAATTCAGTCTCCATAGATGTGTGCCTAGTGCAGAATGTCACAGCCGTAAGGTGATCAGGTATAACTTGGATCTTTGATCCAACGAGTGCTGTTCAAACTAGAAGCCTGTGTTGTGTATGCTGTGGTGATGTGAAGACGATCAACAACAGTCTCTGACAAATTAAACACCCTTATTGATGCGTGAGTGAGTTATGCAAGACACCGCATTTAACAATATTCAGTTGCGTCGCTTCACATATGACTCGAATCTTAGTCTTTATTGGTTGTGTCATATTGTAGATAACGTTCCAGATCTGTCTCTGAACCGTGAAAAACAGTTGACCAATCTGTCCTAACGTGTCACACTTGGAATTATTCTAATCCAGGACCCCCAGGACCGAACAGTTACCCAACAGTTATGCGATATCGCCCTATTCACGTGTATCCAATCAAACTTCAGTTCTGTTCGGCAATCAGAAACATATTCACTTGGACTGCGCTGTAGTTCAGTGGGTGAGGCCAGGACAGTTGAGTGGGGTCCGATGTCTGGTACTGAACTGATGGAGGTTGTGGCTGCCCTGTGGGATTGTAGCCGTCACATGTGGTGAACCACCACCCAGACTGGTGGTTACTTGCACAGTTGTCACCGCTGTCATTGTCGTTGTCGACGTCGTAAGTCGAAAATCGAACTCCCAGGAGTGGTGAGAGGCCATCAATTGCTGGACTATTGTTGAAACTGGGGGATGCGGCAGACGAAAACGAGAAGTTATAACCGTATGTTTCACTGCTCACCTGAAAGTAATTAACATTCTTTCCTTACATACGAAGGACAACTCACTTTGGGGAAATCTGTGACAGTGTTTTTAACACATTTAGCAAATTATCAGCAACAATCGATGCAGTAAGCGAATAACTGAGTGAGGGCGACGCTTTGGTTCTACAACACATGCTTGTCGTTTACCGTTAAGCAACAAACGAAGAAATTGAACTACGCCTTGGAAAATTTGTCAGTTACTTGACGAGGGGTTTTGTGTAAGAAATTTGGAAACGATTAAGGTATGAGTGAAATAAAAGTATGATGTTGCATTTGCAGTTTCTTTTCTTGTTGTTTCCACAAAATGAAGACAGGGTCTTAGCCATTAGCCTGTCCACAATCCTGTAAAAAGGGATGACTTCACCTTTCCCTTTTTGTCGAGCAAAGTTCCCGCATCTTTATCCTTTAGGGTTTATATACTACTGGAATAAAGTAACTGTGCATTATTTAATTTCATGCCACTTCTTCGATTGAAGAAGGCTTGGGGAATGTTGTTCCATGTCTGAACCAACGCTTGTCCCAATTCAGCTAACGTCACTGGCTGATTCTGGGCTTGACGTACGCATCGCTCCATTTCATCCCAATCGTGCTCGAAAGGTGACAGGTCAGGAGTAACAGCTGGCCATCGGAGTAACGGAGTGTTCTGCTGTCTCCGGAAATCTGTCACAACACGAGCAACACGTGGATGGGCATTATTTTGCTGACGCGTCTCTGTCCTTGAAAAACGGCCGACCAGGATGTCTCCCTTTACCATAACGCTTCCGACACCAAACTGTCGAAATTGAACAACGCACGCGTCAGCATACCGTTCACCTTGCCGTCTGTACATCCTTGCACTGCCATCTGAGCTGTTCAGCTGAAATCTCGACTCGTCAGTGAACAAACACCACCCAAATCCTTTCTCCTGCACCGCAGACGTTGTCTGCACCAGGCAAGACGTGCCTGTCGGTGACGTTAGAGCAAACGTATTGCAGGCCGTTGGCCCGGATGTTGTGCTCTCTCAGTCGGTTCCGTACAGTCCTGGAACTGTTTGACCGTAAGCCAGGAATGGCCTCAGACCACAGTTACCCCCCTTAAGTTTTACCATGACCCGGATGGAAAATAGGAGAATATAGTGCCTTG